GGGGATCCTGACCCTTTTACACCCCCCATGTCCCCCCCCCAGGCCCCAAAGGTGCCGGAGGTCCGGGATGTGACCAGGATCGAGCGCATTGGTGAGCAACGAGGGGGGTCCCCACTTCAATCTTGGGGTCTCACCCCCTTTTTTTAGATTTTACCCAATTTTTTTTGGGGTCCCATCCCCTTTTTTTAGATCTTACCCAACTTTTTGGGGTCCTGCTCCAATTTTAGGGGCTCTCGTCTCCTTTCAGAGGGTCCCAGCCCCCTTTTTGGGGTCCCACTTCCTTTTGGGGGATCCCACCTCTTTCTGCATGGCCCTGTTTCTGGTTTTGGGGTCTCATCTCTCACTTTGGGGGCTTTTAACTTCTTTTTTGGGGGGTCCTACCCCCTTTTTTGGGGTCTCATCTCCTTGTAGGGAGTGCTACTTTTTTCTGGGGGGGTCCCACTTCCCTTTTAAGGGGTCTCAGTTCCATTTCTGAGGTTCCACTCCCCTTTTAGGGGGTCCCACCTCCTTCTGGGGGGGTCTCGCTTCCTTTTCTAGAGTCCCAACCCCCCTTTTTTGGGGTCCCATTTCCTTTTAGGGGGTCCTGCCTCCTTCTGGGGAGATCCTGTTTCCCTTTTAAGGGGTCTCAGTTCCTTTTCTGGGGTCCCACTGCAATTTGAGGGGGGTCTCACCCCCTTTTTTGGGGTCCCATTTCCTTTTAGGGAGTCTTACTTTCTCCTGGGTGGGCCCTACTTTACTTTTAAGGGGTCTCACTTCCCTTTCTGGGGTCTCACCCCATTCTTGGGGGTCCCAACCCCCTTTTTTGGGGTCCCATCTCCTTTTAGGGGGTCCTACCTCCTTTTGGGGGGGGTCTCACTTCCCTTTTAAGGGGTCTCAGTTCCCTTCCTGGGGTCCCACTGCCCTTTGAGTGGTCTCACCCCATTCTTGGGGGTCTCACCCCATTCTTGGGAGTCCCACCCCCCTTTTTTGGGGTCCCATCTCCTTTTAGGGGGTCCCACCTCCTTCTGGGGGTGCCCTACTTCCCTTTTAAGGGGTCTCACTTTCCTCTCTGGGGTCTCACCCCATTCTTGGGGGTCTCACCCCATTCTTGGGAGTCCCACCCCCCTTTTTTGGGGTCCCATCTCCTTTTAGGGGGTCCTACCTCCTTTTGGGGGGGTCCCACTTCCCTTTTAAGGGGTCCCAGTTCCCTTCCTGGGGTCTCACTGCACTTTGGGGAGGCCCACCCCCATTTTTTGGGGTCCTATCTCCTTCTAGGGGGGTCCTACTTCCCTGTTAAGGGGTTTCAGTTCCTTTTCTGGAGTCCTACTTCCATTCTTGGGGGTCCCAACCCCTTTTTTAGGGTCCTATCTCCTTCTGGGGGCTCCCACCCTATTCTTGGGGGTCCCACCTCCTTTTAGGGGGTCCTACCTCCTTCTGTGGGGGTCCTGTTTCCCTTTTAAGGGGTCTCACTTCCCTTTTTGGGGTCCCATTGCCCTTTGAAGGGTCTCACCCCATTCTTGGGGGTCTCACCCCATTCTTGGGGGTCTCACCCCCCTTTTTTGGGGATCCCCTCTCACTTCCACCCCCTCATTTCCCCCCCACACAGGCGCCCACTCCCACATCCGCGGCCTGGGCCTGGACGACGCCCTGGAGCCTCGCCAGGTAAACGGGGTCCCAGAGGGGGGGTCCGGTCCAGGGTAGGGGGGGACTCAATTTAGGGGTGCAGTTCCTCCTCTAACACCTCCTCTCGTGCTTTTTAAGGTGTCGCAAGGCATGGTGGGCCAGCTGGCTGCCCGCCGCGCCGCCGGCGTCATCGTGGAGATGATCAAAGAGGGGAAAATCGCCGGCCGAGCCGTCCTCATCGCCGGCCACCCCGGCACCGGCAAAACCGCCATCACCATGGGTACGGCGAGAGGCAAAAAAAAAGTGTCCCCTCGCCCCATTTTTAGTGGCTTCATCAACCCCTTGACACATCCCCAACCCCAAATTTTTGGCAGGGATGGCGCAGGCGCTGGGACCCAACACCCCCTTCACCGCCATCGCCGGCAGCGAGGTCTTCTCCTTGGAGATGAGCCGCACCGAGGCGCTCACCCAGGCTTTCCGCCGCTCCATCGGCGTCCGCATCAAGTAAAAAAAATCCCTCGGCGTCCGCATCAAGTGAGGGGGCGTCCCCTTTCCCATTTGGGGTCCCCCCTTTCCCATTTGGGGTCCCCCCTTTCCCATTTGGGGTCCTCCCATCAATTTTTAGGGGGTGTTTTGCCCAGTTTTGGGACTCGCTTGACTCGGTTTCGGGGGTTTCGTTTGTAGGGAGGAGACGGAGATCATTGAAGGGGAGGTGGTGGAGATTCAGATCGATCGGCCCGCGACCGGCACGGTGAGCACCTAAACACCCCCAAAATCCCTCAGAGGATCCCCAAAAATCCCTCAGAGGACCCTGAAATCCCTCAGAAGACCCCAGAAATCTTTCAGGAAACCCTAAAAATCCCTCAGAGGACCCCAAAAATCCCTCAGGACCCAAAGGTACTTCAGGGTACCCCAAAAAAATCCTCAGAGAACCCTGAAATCCCTCAGAGGACCCCAAAATCCTTCAGGGCACCCCAAAGATCCTTCAGGGCACCTCAGAATCCATCAGGGGACCTCAAAACCCTTCAGGACACCCCAAAAATCTCTTCAAGGACCCCACAAATCCTTCAGGGCACCCCAAAAATTTCTCAGCTGACCCCAAAATCTCTCAGAGTGTCTCAAAATTCCTCAGGGCACCCTAAAAAACCCTCAGAGGACCCTGAAATCCCTCAGAAGACCCCAGAATCCATCAGAGGACCCCAAAATCCTTCAGGGAACCACAGAATTCCTCACAGGTGCCCTAAAAAGCCTCAGAGCATCCCAAAAAATCCCTCAGAGGACCCCAGAATCCTTCAGGGCACCCTAAAAAGCTCTCAGAGGACCCCCAAATCCCTTAGGGTGCCCCAAAAATCCCTCAAGGGGACCCCAAAATCTTTCATGGCACCCCAAAAAACCCTCAGAGGACCCCAAAACCCCTCAGGGCACCTCAAAAATCCTTCAGGGCACCCCAAAATCCATCAGGGGACCTCAAAACCCTTCAGGACACCCCAAAAATCTCTTCAAGGACCCCACAAATCCTTCAAGGCACCCCAAAAATTTCTCAGGCGACCCCAAAATCTCTCAGAGTGTCTCAAAATTCCTCAGGGCACCCTAAAAAACCCTCAGAGGACCCCAAAAATTCCTCAGAGGACCCTGAAATCCCTCAGAAGACCCCAGAATCTCTCAGAGGACCCAGGGGACCCCCAGAATCCCTCAGAGGACCCCAAAATCCTTCAGGGGACCCCCAAAAATCTCTCAGAGGACCCCAAAACCCCTCAGGGCACCCTAAAAAGTCTTCAGAGGACCCCAAAATACTTCAGGGTACCCAGAAGGCCCCAGAAATCTTTAAGGATGCCCCAAAAACCCTTCAGAGGACCCCAAAAATCTTTTAGGGCACCCTAAAAATCCCTCAGAGGATCCCTAGATCCCTCAGAAGACCCCAAAAATCCCTCCGAGGACCCCAAAAATCCCTCAGAGGACCCTGAAATCCCTCAGAAGACCCCAGAAATCTTTCAGGAAACCCTAAAAATCCCTCAGAGGAGCCCAAAATCTCTCAGGGCACCCTAAAACCCCCCCTGAGAGCTCCCCCAAAATCCTCAGGGCACCAAAGTGGGGAAGCTGACGTTGAAGACGACGGAGATGGAGACCATTTACGACCTGGGCACCAAAATGATCGAGTCCCTCACCAAGGAGAAGGTGCAGGCGGGGTGAGTGAGGAGGGGGCACCCCCAAAATGAAGGAGGGGATCCCCAAAATCGGGGTAGGGGCCCAAAAATCGGAGTGGGGACGGCGGAAAAGAGCTTAAAATGGCCGCCAAAATGGGGCAGGGGGAGCACAAAATGGCACCTGGAGCCCTGAAATGGGGCAGGAGGAGCCTGAGATGGGGATGGGGGACCCCAAAATGAGGGGGGGACACCCAGTATTAAGGGGGGGACCCCAAAATTGGGGTGGGGGGCTCTGAATGTCTCAAAATTCCTCAGGGTACCCTAAAAAACCCTCAGAGGACCCCAAAAATCCTCAGGGTACCCCAAAATTTATCAAGGTGCTCCAAAATCCTTCATGGTGCCCTAAAAAGCCTCAGAGCATCCCAAAAAATCCCTCAGAGGACCCCAGAATCCTTCAGGGCACCC